AGCCAAGGAAAAAAAAAGCACTCAAACCACCTTGGCCAGAAATCAAAGGACTAAACAAAAAACTAAGAAAAAGTAGATCATTAGGACTGAACAATAGAGTAAAGGCGTTGTCCACTGTTTCCATGTTTATGCAAACTTTGCAAAAGAAGCACACTAGAAGTAGTCTGGCAAAACCCAAATCAAAAAATAACAAATAAATGGTGGAAACCTGCTTCTCTAATTCTTCAGCCAAATCCTCGAACAATTCCCTCGGTGTCGAGCCACCTGTGTTTGACACAACAGCTTGATACTGAGGCAAATCCTTGACCTAACAAATGAAAAAACACACTAAGCGATAGAAATACATAATTTGTATTTCCTTATATTTTAGCTATAAATTTTCCACATTTTCCAACAATAATAAAGTGGATCCAGTACCTTCAAACAATAATCTCGCCAGTGAGTTTTAGCTGTAAAGTTGCCAGCATTAACATGTTCTTCCATGAGTTTGCGAAATGCATCACGATTTTTCCTCTCAGCCCGCCTCAATTGTTCCTAACATTTGGTCAGAGATAGTGAACCAATTATAAGAAATGACAATAATAAAACCAATTAAACCTAATAAGTAACAAAAAAACAGATTCTACCTTCTGAACCTTCTTTTGTTCCTCTTCTTCCTTCTCCAGGTCATGTATGTAATCCTGCAATAACCTTATCAGAATACAATTCCTATGCTCATAGGCAACCATAAGACAACATACCTCAAAACCAATCAAGCGGTCAATCTTCTCAAGACGTGAACATCTTTCATCATCCTCCAATCGATCTTGTACTTTCCGCCACTGGCTATTTACCTGTATATTGTAGTCAAATAGTAGGACTTTTTAGGGAACAAATTGTATGACATACACATAAGCAAAATTCATTGAAATTCCCAGCTACAGTATACCTTGATGAAGTCACAGGATTCTAAAAATTTCCGATATTCTGCTATATTTCGCCGATGGTCCTCCACAGCCTTTTCTCTCTCCTATATTTAGTACCGAACACACAGGAAAAACGATACGTAAGAACCATATGAATAGAAAGCTCCTGAAGCATACAAATACAGATATGACAGATGTTCAACTGAATGGCAGATGGTCCAAATCATCCTCCTTCATGCCTTACAAATTTTATGGACCATGAATATGATACTGTAACAACATATGAAATGAAAAAAGGAGAGAGATATAGAATAATTGAACAAGTCCATTTGTTCGTGCATTAGTCTCAAAATTTCAGATCAGCTTATTAGATATACACAAAGCCAATGAATACTGATTATCAATGCAATACAGCATGCATGTTCTTATGAAACCAAAAAAAATCTGTACTTAAGCAGCCAATCAAGATCTCCAGCTCCACATCCTAGAAATCAAGTTGTTTGATGTAAGTAAAACAGACCTCACAACCTATATTCAACAAAGAAAGATATCCTTAATAATACCTCCAAAGGAGGAAAGATGCAAATGGTGCTAGGAATGATCTTTAATATGCCAACAAATTTTTTTATATTTAAATCACAATAACCTTAGTTCTTCATAATCAAAACAGCATTCAATTTAATGGGGATTTTATCGAATATTAGAAGTCTCTGAAATAAAAAAATGATGCATAAGTGCAAACCCACAAGCAAACATTTAAGTCTTAAAATCAGATAGCCAGAAAGCATGGCAAGATAGAAAATAAGTCCTCATTATTAACTCAAGGACCTCTGAAAATGAATATTTTCAGCCATAAATCATGCGCTAACACACACATGATCAAACAAAACTAATTTGGAAAAAAGTCATTACCTTCCTCTCTAGCTCCACAATGTAGTTATCAAAGAGATCTTCGCGGTCTCTCACGCGTTCAACAGCTTTGAAACGTTCATCATTTTCGAACAAACTTACAGCTTTGCTAATCAGCCAAAGAGGTGATACAACATAAAAACCCCATATCAAGAATCACAGACAACAATATAGACAGGCTGCAAATAATCAAACTCTTCATATTGAATAAAAGACTTCAACCTCCATTTCATGGTTGAAGTCAGTTCCTTTGACTCCTGAACAGAAATCAGAACACAAATAGAGCATCAGGTGAATCAGAAATTATAGAATCTTAGAAGGGGTATAAGGATGGGAAAAGAATCTGCTTTACAATATACCTCAAGCATTTTTGTGAACTCTTCCCGAGCCTTTTTCTGTCTCATTCGCCTTTCCTCGGCCTCGAGTTTTCTTCTTTGACCCAAATACTATAACATAAAAATGGTCCAAGTTTATTTTTAAGAAAACTTGTACTTTCATTGAAGCATAAATGAAGTTAACCGACAACTTTAGTTATGAAAATATTTAACCCGCAACTTACATGCAGCATATCAAGCCCAATACAAAACTAAGAAAACCATCAATGTAAACCAAAATGTATCGCAAAGCAATGACTCACCTCATTAAATGCTTGCTTCCGCTCCCCAAGAGTCCTCAAAGCACCATATCGCTTGTCATTAATAATCTCTCTCATTGTCTTAGACAAAAATATAATATTAGTGAAAGAAATTGTCAAATTACTTTGAGATTAGCAGCAGAACGAAAAAGAATAAAAGCGGAGCTACCTGCTCCCATGTCCAATCAGACTGGACATTTGCAGATTCCAAAAGAGCTTTGAATGCAACTTTCGCCTCCTAATTATAAGGGATAATTAGAATAAAAATAGATGAAAACGGATGCGAATGCTGGTAAAAATAACAGCAATTTTTCACAAGAAAAACACCTCCGGTCTCCTCGCCCAACACAAAGGGGAGATAATAACAGGAGACATAAAAGGTGCTTAAAATGTACTTTATGTATAACTAGAGTTAATTAAGTTAAAGGG